ATTTTTTGTGATTATAGACGCATGGAAATATTTGCTAAATTGAATCTATCGAAGAACACCAAATAACACACCCCTTTGCTTCCTCACAAGTATGTATCCCACTCATCCAGTTCCCCTCTGCTTCTGGTAGCTTCTGGGATAGACACAGCGGTGGGCCAGTTCCTTGGAACTCTGCCGTGAGAGCATCAGGGAAAGCACCTCATCACGCACTTCTCAGTCAGCTCAGCTCATCCAAGGAGTATCATGTGACCATTCACTTATACCAGGCATGACAAAACAAATGCTTTTAAAGAAGTAAATATTTTAGAAGTGGTGTCTTTTGGAGAAATAGAAAACATATGCATCCCAAGAGCATTCCGGTTCAAAATGTAAACAAACAAAACAACAACCACCAAAATGAAAACCAACCAACTAAGCAAACAAAAACCATACTGTGCAAGGAAGTGCATTCTCAGGGCACCATGGGCTTCCGGGTGCTTGCTTTGTGACCTGTTATGCAGTTATTCACTTATGACTAATCATAAGCCAGTCCCACCTCTATAAGCAGCTACAAGCAGACTCATAATGAGCTTAATATGATCCCATGCGAGCTTAACTTAGGCCAAAAGAATTGATTTAGCTAACAGATGAAGTTTATAAATGCCATCGTTGGATCCTTATAACAATCTTTATTGTCCTCGTTTCTTATACAGAGACATGAAAACTCAGAGAAAGTGAGTTAGTCACGACAGGTCACACAGCCAGTTAATAGTAGACCTGGGGTTAATAATCAGGTAACTTGCTCTCACCGTGTCTATTTTCAATTGTACTTCTCGGCTACACAAAACCTGCAAATGGATGAAACAAGGGACACTGGGCGAGGACTCAGTGATGAAATGGTCATGTGATGAGCTGGAAGGGTTTATATGCACCCACAAAGTCTTCCCAGGAGCCGTTTCCTGTCAGAGGGTTTGGCTTGCTTGCTGTTATGGTAACTTCATACTCGATGTTTATTAATGAGGTAAAAATGAATCTCTTGTTTGTGTTCATTGGTGCTTTGGAAAACTGGTTTGTTATTTCACTTAAGTGGGGGGCACTTGAGAAAACAAGCTGAATGCATTCTAAATGCTTAAAAAAACAAACCACCTCACTTCACACTTTGGCCATGTCTTTGCTTTGCTCACTTAATTAGCTTTCGACATGCTCTAAGTCATTCATCTGTGTCCATTTCTGGGGAGATGTAGGGTTTGTGGGTTACTTTGGATACCTCATTTAAAAGACAGGACATGCTATTAAGTGGAAGAAATTGGACCCGAAGTTGCGGCAGGGCCCTATCTGGACGAGAGGCCCCACCCAGCGCCTTCACAAGCGTCTGCTTCTGCTCCCTCGCCTCTGATTTTCATGAACAATCCATTCAAGTGCCATGGCAGCCTTCCTCTGCTTTTTTATTCCAGTTCACTAGAAACGATCTTCTTCTTTCCTCTAAATGCCATTCCAAAACCAGAGTATGGAAACAAATAATGCGGGGACATCTAGATGTCACCTTAAAATGCGACTTCAGAGGAAGAAAGACAGACACCATGGTACATTGCAATGGTTTGCCTAGAACCACACGATGGTGGATGGGGGAGACTGGTGTGACCTTCTCCAGGTGAGGCCAGTGAAAACTGTAAAGAGCAGCAGACACCACAATTTACAACAGTAAGCACTTTGCCGGACTGGCCAAGTTCTCCTTTGCATTGAGTTTTTAAAAGGGTTCATTTCATAGGAACGGAGCTGGAATTGCTAGCCCAGACTTAAAATAGCACTTGGGCTGGAGGTGACCCTATTCAACATATGTCTGTAGGAAGATGAGTGCTGAGGGAAGTTGCAGCTAATGGCAACCACAACCTTCCTCACCACCCCCAACTTATAATCACATCTTTCATTTGCAGACTACTGGCCATTTATCTGAGAGAGGCAGTTTAAAAGGTCCCCAGCGTCTCCCTTTGTGACAAACGTCTTTAGATAAATTCTCCTTGGTTCCCACCATGCTGATAAAGCCGCTGTAACCTGACAATGTGTTCACTTCACCTGGTCTACCAGGCATCGGAGCTTCAATAAGATCGTGCATGAGTTGTTTGACCTCATGATGGGCAGGTGGAGCTGGAGCTGTGGTACCCAGCATCGCTACAGCATCAGGTTGCATATTGCTAGCCTGGGAACAGATCCAAATGCCAAACTCCAAACTCGAAACCCAGTTCCTAATCAATGCACACGGCTTTTGCACCCTTGTAAAATCAAGAGATCCTGAATGCAGCCGTTGTAAGTCAGGGACCACCTGCAATTATGAATTTTGAAAAACCTGTCATGAAATCAAGTTAAAAATCATGGTTATAAATACTTATGGGGGAATGTCTTTGGCGATCTTGAAGAAGATGCTCTTAGACTGGTTCCTTCCTTAAAGCTGGTGCCTGGGCATCTGTTCCCATTCTGCGCTCTCTGGGCTTGAGGAACTTGCTTTCCTCCAGTCTTTGGATGCCCCCATCCATAATATATCACTTTTAGTTATTAAATAACAGGGCTCGATGTTAATGTTGGCCTTCTCCATCCTTTAAGAAAGTGTTTTCAGCCAAAGATATTAAACCCCTCTTTTCCCCTGTCAGCGGAGCAGCCAACATCCTGAGGTCACAGCTCATTTGTACAGCACTGGCGTGAACACTCAGACTCTATCTGTCTCCAGCCCTTAAAGGCTGGTGTTAGAATGAGTGATGGACTCTTTGTTTAGAATTAGGAAAGGGGGGATCTTCCCCCAAGTAATAACTTTAGCCTAAAATATCCGCTTCAAGGAATGCAACTCTGCCCTTTCCTCTCAGAAAACTCGATTGGAATCGAGATTTAATTTGGCATTGTTGGGCCTGGGGCAGAGAAAATAGTAGGAAGGAAACTGTCTCAACCCACTGACCCTCCCCATCCAAGTCCAGCATTTGTTCTCTTACTGGAGGGTTGTGGTGCTGACTCAGGACACAGGTAAAGAGAGTTTAGGAGTCCATGTGGTCCGATCTTACAATTTTGGAACTCCAGGTGAGACTTCCGATAGTTGTGTTTCAGACATAAATAGGCCAATCATTCCTTTCTCTTTGCTGAGTGTTCACCAGGCACTTGGGAACTGTAGACGGGGCTGCTGGCACCATCATCTGCCTGTCCCCTGCTGCTCATGCTTGCCCTACCCATAAACCCTAGCATTCTCTTCCATTAGAAGCAGTCCGGGGCAAGGGTGTGAGCTCTCATGGAAGTTCCTCCAAAGGCCAAGTGTAATTTCTTGGCAAGGGAAACACCATCATGGGATAAGCTAGGATTTCTTCATATTCTCCTAACCAACGAGAAGGTGGGAAGACCCTGAGAACCTGTGTTCCTGTGTCTCCTCAGTCTCTAGCCAAATATGGCGGCACCCACCCTCACTCTGAACTTGCCTTGTGTCTCATGACAAAGACCAGGAACAGACTCCTGTAGGGAGACTCCTGGGTAGACATGGGTTCCAGGCCTTCCTTCACAAGCTTCATTCTACACGCAGAAATTCATAAGCAAACACCATATTTTACATTTAAATCACACACACACACACACACACACACACACACACACACACACACACAGTGAAAAAAACAGATTCCTAAATTTCTCTTTCCATCTGGAGCCTCAACTGTTTCGTAACGTATTGGCCCATGGTGGTTATAAAGTCTCCCATTCATGATGCTCTGAAACAAGAGCAAAGGCTTCTGGGTGCTTACAACTCAAAGCACGCCTTTCGCATGTTCACAGGAAAATGGTATTTTCCTTCAAGCCTGAAGGTGCCTGGACTTAATGAAACACAGTTGCAAGGCACCTATGCTGGCCGCCGGCCATCGTTCACCGCAACACCCGCAGCACAGCTCTTTCCTTCAAAACTTCCTATTTCATAGAAGTAGAAATCTGTGTAAAGTTCCAGAATCAAGCGGCATTTTCCCGTACCTCCATAATGATGGGCTTCTCCTTCCTGGCTACTTTAGAATCATAAAGACGGAAGTGTGAGAGCGCTGGAAGACAGCCCGCATTGCAGAGGGCGGGGTATCCAGAGATAGACCTCTGACAGTCTTTTCTGCCAACACACACACACACACACACACACACACACACACACACACACACACACGGGGTTCTGCTAAAAGAGAAACAAGGGCACGAGGAAGAAAGAAGGAAACAAGAGGAACAGCAAGCCCTCCCTCCCTCCCCCTCCCTTCCCCCTCTCTCCCCCTCCCCCCACCCCTTCCTTTGCTTTCCTATCCTATCTCAGAAAGGCCCTCTTCCTGCAGGTAGACTTGGGGTGGTTTATATAGGAAACACCACCCGTCCCCCAATCACATGTATTTGGGACTTGGTCCCTGATTGGAGGTGTTGTTTGGGGAGGTTATGGACCCATTAGGATGTGGGCCTTGCTGGAGGAGGTGCATCCCTGGGCGCGGGTTAGAGCCAGATTCCATGCCCATCTCACTCTGTTTCCTGTTTACCTTTGCAGGCTCAGCCTCCTGCTCCCACCTCTGGCTGCCAGGCTGCCCTGCATGATGGACTCTTAGCCCTCTGGAGCTGAAGTAAACACATTGGCCTTCAAGCTGCTTTTGGTCGTGGTGTTTTACCACAGCAACAGAAAAGTAATCGATATGCGTGTTGAACGAGCAGGTCGTGTATTGCTCCTCAGATCCCTAGCCTATTCACGACAGGAGCTTATGGACTCCAGGTGGCAGAGTCACCCTCTTTAGTGCCTCAAGGTAATAGTCACAGGGGGTAACGAGTTCATTACTGAAGAGAGGGAAATAAGGCAGAAAGTCATAACAAAACAGGAAAACATTCCTCCAGAGCTTGATAGGTTCTACCTGGCTCACCAAATGTTAACTAAACAGCAAGGGCTGCAGCAGGCAGTCCTTTACAGGCAAGAATTTAGCAAGTCGGGCAGAAAGGTTCTATCACTACTGTAAGCAGAGCCCAGAGAAACAAAGTCTACTCACCGGGAAGCAGTCAAGATGTCTACTTCTGGGTCTTTGAACACCAACCCCTGTGTGTTGGACTGGATGATCTTGAAATCTTGTTACTGATAATCTGGAATGAAAAGAAAGATTGGAAGATAATTAGGTAGGATAACCTATAGTTATTGTAGAGTACTATTCATTCTTGTACGTTTACTTATTTATTTTGTGAGTGTGTGGGCACACATGTGCGACAGGGTCTGAGTAGAGGTCAGGGGACAACTTGGACTCTCTTCTCTCCCTCTACAGTGCGGATTCTGGGGATTGAATGTGAGTCATCAGTCTTGGTGGCAAGTGATTTTACCCCACTGGGCCATCTCACCAGCTCTAGCGCCTCTATATTTAAAACATTTATTCTCTCTTGGGTACCATTGTTAGTTGGACACCGAGGAGGTAACACAGGTCTGGTATAGAAAAAGTTATTGTGATTCTGGAGATAACCGGGCAGGTAAAAGGGTTTGTTGTGCAAACCTGACCACCTGAGTGTGTGTGGATCCCCAGAACCCAAGTAAAGTCCAAGGGTCTGTAATCCCAGGGGAGACAGGAGTTGGGGACACGAGAATCTCTAGAAGCTGTCTGTCCAGCTAGCCTGATGAGGAAATCCTGGCCAAAGATGGTAGAAAGGTGAGGATCAATGGGAAAGTTGTCCACTGACTTGTACAAGTACATCATATAGACATGAATAAGACACACACACACACACACACACACACACACACACACATACACTATTATTGTCATTATCATTTTAAAGAAAATACATGTAGTAATTATAGAATCAAACTCTGAATTACTCTAAATGACGAGGCAGAGGAGGATGTATGGCTGTACCTCTGCTCTGAAAATAGGAAAATGCGGAAGAAAATGGTATGTGTAGGTAGGCGGGAAGCCCCTTCTTTGTGGTCTAGTGTAATATGTGTGAGCTAACCTGTGAGTGAGAGGAATTAAAAGAGAAGTCTGCCTTCTAGGCTCACATTGCATGTCTAAAAATGAGAAGGGGAAGTGTCTTCTACTCTGTTTCTGGGCGATCACTGTCGGTGGGAACCATCCCTCGACTTATCACTTCTAGCTACAGCGGATCGTGCCATGTGCAGACATTCCGGCTGACCTTCCTCCGAAACACTTGCCAAGCTCTCTGCAGGCCAAGCCAAGTCTAGACCAGACGTAGTTAAGGAAGGAAAAGGCTAAGGTAATGGAAGGTGAGGAAGCAGGGTAGCTAGACACACGTCGAATGAGCCTCTTTCTTCCCCGGTCCCTAGCAAGCTGCTGGCAAACAGCCAGGCACTACTATTTCTCCTTGGAGTTAACCATCAACCCAGGCATGGGGAGAAATGGGTTTTACATGAAAACATTCCCGATGGGGGAACCAAGGTGTGATGGAAGCAAAGGAGAGATTGTTTCCTTCCCGTCAGATTTCGAGCACTCTTAAAATAGTGATTTTCCTGGGACCTTAAGAAGCAACTAAGTGAACCATTTGGTGGCACAGGAAACAGCACTTAGCACTTTTCCTGGTACAAGTTAGGTAAAAATCACAACAGGGCTTTCTTTAATCAGATGTGACTTTTCCTTCATTAAGAATGAACTTAGATATGATTTTCAAAATGGATGCCAAGAAAGAGTTTCAGATAATGACTTCCTGTAACCAGGGGTTAAAAAAAAATTGATGATGCTTTGGCCAGTACGAAGAACCAGTTGAAGAATTAATTGAACTTGTTGGCTTCCACAGATGAATTAGGGCCCCTTAACGCCAACGCTACTACTTCTATCAAACACCTAGGATGTAAGACTCATCCACATTCTTCAGTCCCCCTGGGATTCGGGGAGGGTCACTCAGAAGGGGTCTTCAAAGGTGTTATCTTTGCTGGTAAACACAAGGGTATGGGTGGCTGGTGACTTTATCCCACCCACAAGAGGGTTCTGGTTAGCGCCCAGTACTTTGTGTTGTAGATGAAGTTGGGAGACACTTGTACACATTGGGAACAAGGAGAGTGTTCTGTGTGGTTTTACCTGCATGCTATGCGGTCTTCTCCTCTAGATACTAAGGTGGAACACTATTTAATGACACACAGAGGAGTGAGAGCTCCAGGACACAAGGCTTGACATGGGAAAGGAATGGGGAGCAACTATTTCAGCCTCAGTTGGCAGGGAGCCGAGCGCCTTGGGGAGATGGGTATTAAAATAAAATATTTAAAAATAGGTCTGTGGAGTTTAGTCAAAGCGAGCCAGTGGCAACAAAACATTAATACTTGTCTCTTCCTCACATTTCTAGTTGAGTATGGAAGTGAGAAGCCTGTCCGAATGGAGGGAACACACAATTTCAGGGTGTCTAGGCCATTTAAGTAAACTCGGATGAGTAGACTGATACTGAACAAGCCAGTTAACCACTTCCAGCCTCGCAGGTCCTCAGCCCAATATGAAGCAGTTGAAGTATATATTTAAGAGAGCTTCAACTTAGATGGTTTATATATAACCATCTGATCATTTAAGGGAAAGAGATGTGTTTCATACTTCAGCAGGTATGCAAGACCCTATAGTTGTAGATAAAATGCCAACTGCATTCTCTTTTCCCTGACTATCTAGTCCTATCCTATCCCTATCATTTCCCTTTTTTGTTGTTTTGGTTTTTTTGTTTGTTTGTTTTTGCTTTTTGAGACGGTTTCTCTGTGGCTTTGGAGTCTGTCCTGGAACTGGCTCTTATAGACCAGGCTGGCCTTGAACTCACAGAGATCTGCAAGCCTCTGCCTCCCCAGTGCTGGGATTAAAGGCATGCACCACCACTTCCCGGCACCATCCTCATCATTTCTAAGCAGGGTGTGTGTGTGTGTGTGTGTGTGTGTGTGTGTGTTATCTGAGACAGAGTTTCTCTGTGTAGTCCTGGCTGTCCTGGAACTCACTTGTATGTAGATCAGTCTGGCCTCAAACACCCAGAGATCCACCTGCCCCTGCCTCCTGAGTGCTGGGATTAAAGCAAGATGAGTACATTTTATATCTCCATGAGGAAAAAAAAAAAAAAAAAAAAAAAAAAAACATTCCACATAATAATGTTGAGAGCTTACTGAGTGCTCGCTATGCGCAAGGAACTTGGTGTATGCTATCTTGTTTAATGTTTGCCATCTCAAAGTAAAGAAACAGATTCAAGTTCATTGTTGTTCAGTTAATGAATGATAGAGTTGAACTGAAACCCATGCCTTGCTCCAAAGCTTTCTCCCTGACTGAACACCTGGCATTATCATAGCTTCCAAGGCTTTGCTAAGATCAGTTAGTTACAAGAACTGCCATGAAGCAAGCCTTTAACGAGTTTGTTGAGTGTACATAGACCAACCGAGGTATCTAGAGATTAGCATGGAGCCGTCTAATGGTACCATTGTAAACAACTGAAAAAATTGGAAGAAATATAAGACGATCTGCCGTACAGCATCAGAAATCTGCTGCAATAACTGGAGCGTCAAGGCTCAACATCCTAGAGATGAGGGAGGGAGCAGCAATATGACCCCCACTCAGAAGTTTCTACCAAGACAGTGTGGTCCTCAAACCACCAAAGACAAGATGATATAAGAGAATTAGAAACACACAAGAGATGGCAGTATATGCCTGTAATCTTAGCACTGGGGAGGCTGAGGCCTGCCTGGTCTATAATACTAAGTTCGAGGTCAGCCTGACCAATGTGGTGAGAGTCTGTTTCATAACAACAAAACAACACAAATAGAAACAAGGAGCATGTTTGTGAGGAGCTGCCCCACAGAGGTGGATGGCAAAAACCTGGAGTTCGCAAAGAGAATTCCATCCTGGACTCTTGTGTATTTCAATCGTGGTAGTTATTAACGACTATAAAAAATAATTCAGAGCTCCACAGTGAAAAATATCCATTTTACTGTGTGGTTAACTATACGCTGAGAAAACAAAGAAGAGAGGAAGAAGGAGAGGAGGAGAAGAAAGTCCCTTGGGACCGATTGGAATGCTCACCCACAGAGATGAGGCAAAGTAGAAGTGCTATCCAGACTTATGCCAGGTGGACCTCCTGAAGGCTGTTATCTCAGTCCAAGTCTACCGCAACAAGCTTTTCCAACTCTCAAACTAACCAAAAATAAGAAAACCCCATACTGGGAAGGAACTAACATCAGCCAGCACTCCAATGGGGGTTAGCTTTTAGTTGTTGTTGTCTGGAGCAGATTTTTGTTGCTTAGTTTAAAATTTCAAGTGTATGGGTGTTTTTGCCTGCTGTTATGTCTGGGTACCATGTGTATGTCTGCCAGGCTCTTCATCTCTGAGCCATCTTTCCAGTGCCCCCGTGGTTAGTTTTGATCATTGATTTGACACAATGTAGAATGACCTGTGAAGGAAGCCTCAATAAAGAATTGTGCAGATTAAATGGCCTACCCTCATGCCTATCTTAATGGGGTTTATCGAGGTTGAAAGACCCATGATGAACTCGGTCAGGACGATGTCATGGGCTGGGCCTTGAGCTAAACGAAAAGGAGACAGTGAACTGAGCATAGTCACGCGTGGTTCATTTATTGCTTTCTGCTCCTGACTGTGGATACAATGACACTAACTACCATGTTGATTTCCTTGCCACGATGGACTGCATCCCAGAATTGTGAGGCAAATAATCCCTTCCTCCCTTTAATTATGGAGTTTTATCACAGCAATGGGAAAAGCAATCCCAATTTGATGTCTATTTGGAGAGCAACAACATTAACAACCATTAACTCTGATCTCTATCATGAAGCCACTCCCTCCAGCATTTCTAGATTCATTGTTGAACTACATGTGAAACGATAACTGTTATTTTGGGGGTGGGTGGTGAGAAGAATGGGAAATACCTTCATATAAGAATTGTGTAACTGGGACATAAAAATACTACTATGCCTCCTCCTATCGCTGATCCTGTTTAGACAGTCTTTCCTGAGCGCATGGCTGAAGAACATTCTTTTCTTTCTCCTCTATGGGACACAGGGGATCAGCCACTATTTTCACGAGCTTGATGGATTTGGAGCTAGGTTTTGTGCCATCCAGGAGAGAGAGGGATCTAGCTTCCTTCTATATGTAGTTTTCCCATTTGCCCATCCCTGT